CCTCAGGGGGGGGGTGGGGTGGGGGAGTAGGTGGTAGGTGGGCAGTGGGCAAGCATGTAGGTACCTCAGAGGGGGTGTGGGGTGGGGGAGTATGTGGTAGGTGGGCAGTGGGCAAGCATGTAGGTAGCTAAAATGGGGGAGTAGGTACCAAGTGGATAGAGAGAATACCTGAGAGGGAAACAGGTTGGCATGGGCCCCCCTCTCCTCATGCCTGAGACCTGAGAAAACAGTCTAATATATTGGGGCGCTGGGAACCAAATTACTTTTTTTCTCTCCTACTCAACATGGGTTTACTGAGCATACCTGGCCCTGAAATATGCGATACATCTACTTTTCAAGAATATACGGATCATTTAAAAATCTTACATTATTCAAACAGAATTTTCTGCAGACCCTCAAATACACCAATCTTATCAAAGTAAAACAGAAAAGAAACCCATGAGGCCAGGAATCCCAACTGGGGTACTAACTCCTAGTTTTCTCTCTGAATGGCGGGCTGGGGACAGACTTGGTACTGACCTGTGTGCTGTCGGCGGTGCTTGGTGAGGGCGTGCCGGGTCCCACCGGCAAAGCCGCAGAGGTCACACAGAAACGACTTCTCGCCTGTTGCAACAATAAACAGATGAGGGACTGTGGAGGTCACAGATCATTAAAACATATCTATCAAGGCTTTCAGGGTTACTAATTCCTCCAATCAAATGTTTCCATGTAAATATGTCAAATGGGAATGAAATTACCACTGCGGTTTATTGACTGTGATAAAATCTGAAAAGCACCACTGAACATAATTACATACTTGTCAGACCCATAAAAATTAGCTTTATTATCAATGGAATGGTTTTGTACAACTTCATTTCTGGTAGATGTCTTCCAGATGGGGCTGCTTTATGCACTTGAACAGTTTTTATGCATATCCTGATTTTTTACAATTCCCATACATCTGGCCTTTCTGAGCTGAGTAAAGATTGCTTGGAATAGTTAATATACAGTATATATAATTCTGCTCAAATAAAACACACTGAGTTTTCTAACAACTTAAAGCTACTGAATTGGTTTTACCTGATCCTATCAGGATCTTCTTTAAGCACTTTCTACCTAATAACATAAATTAAATGGTGTCCATGCAGACACTGAAGATCCCAAGTAACAAGATCTACATTACTCAGACCAATAGTAATTCAATGCTGTTTATGTTTCTCAAACTTCCATGGCATAAGAAACAAGTCTAGGGATTACTAAAGAAATTGACAAAAACTCCTCTATTACTCATCTTCAATGATATCCCTGGACTGGAAACCTCTGCAACAATTAGGGACAGACTTGGCAGACTTAGTATTTGTTAAAAGTGTGCAAATGCTCATTTTTTAAGCATTTTTACACAAGCTAACATTTGCCCTCCAGTTTATAAATCCAATATATCTTTGCACTGTAGCACATTCAGGCAGTAAGTGCTCGCCAGCTAGGCAGCTTCATCCCCTAAGACTCACAAAAAAAGGGCAAAATGGAATAAAAATGCTAACCTTGGAGAGATTCAGTGAAATTAAAAAATACTTTCCAGAAATAAAATAAATCATTCGTATCTACCTTTATCTTCTTTATTCATGTATACATTTAATGCAACAAGTCTTTCATGCTTTTGTCAGAGTCAACATGCTTTGTTCCAAAACATTTTGGTGCATCGTATCAGAAACTGAGCTTGCAGCTTTTTGGAAATCAAAACTGCTTTATAAAAATTAGAATCAATAGTAACTACAGGAAGGGAGAATAGCATCGTTAATCAAAAAAGTCTCCCCTTTACTTAAGAACATGACTGGCTTTTCTAATTGAAAGGAACATGTATTAATAAAAAAGAGTTTTAACCAAATTATCTTTACTCTTATTTCCCGATGGTATGTTAAAATGTTCACTATTATCTTTTAAAAAATACAGCTGAATTCAAATATTTTTCCTGCCTGTACTTTCCTGTTTTGGGGTTAAGTTCCTTGGTATCATTATTTCAGTGTAGGAAGAATAGAGTAGATGGGCTGTGAAGAATAAAGTTTAATTATAATCACTCACTTAATTATTTAATCAATTTGAAATATAAATCTTTCTAACTGCTTGTATTATCAATTAAATAACACTAAAAGGAGACTTTTTTTAATGCCAAAAGACAATTTGCTCGTTAATATTAACACACTATCCAATGCTAGGGCGAAATTGTTCAGTACAATTTATGCATTGCCATAGTTTTGTGGGTGTAAACTGCCTGTGCATATGTGAGGACGCATGTTTGTGCCCATGGATGCCCATGCACACACCCAGGCGTGCTCACATGCACATGAATCTGTGGTGGCGCGTGGCAGGGGCAGTGCTGATGTCACACCCCCAACATCACTAATGAGCCACAACTGGTCTCATCACTCTTGGATCCAACCACAGCATTCTTCCTGTCACTTACACGCATCCTGGTGACGTGTATTTTTCTAACAAAAAAAAAAAAATTAACAAGCATAGAAATGCCAACGTGAGATTTGCATTTTATACCTGTGTAAATGTTTAAAGTTGTAATCCCTTCCCTTTTTAAAGATATATACAGACACAAAGAAAAAATTATTAATTACCCATGTGATTTGACTCTAGACACATTAGTGACCTTGATTTTTTGATGTGTAGGATTTTATTTAGAATCTTAGTCTCCAGTGTATTATATGTCATATTTACCTTGGTGGCTTGATTTGTTGATTTGTTTTTCATTCTACATTCAATTTTCACTTGCTTTTTTCTTGGCGGGGGGAGGGGAGGGTGGTTAGGGTTGAACAGTGGGCAAACAATATTTTTCAAGAAAAAAACTTTAAGGAAAAACTATATAGTATTTCACTCAACAGCATAGAGGGGGTTCAGTGAGCATGCCATATTTGCATATCAGCAGAGGTACGATGGGAGATTTCTTCTGAAACAACTTGAATTAGTTTCAGGTGTGCCATTTTGCATTCAAATGTGGAGAGACACGGAAACCAATCCTTTATTTTCTATTAGAAAACAGCCACTGTCCCCGATCTCTCATTATGGTGCAGGCTACAAGACCTAACAACAAAAATCCATATTATTGATCCAGCCAAGTCTCCACAATTATTCTTTAGAAGGAAACGCCGACGATAAATTACAGCTGCACTGGCTTTTCATCTGCTGTTCGATATAAGTGATCTCTCAGGGCAGGCTGGAGACCTTAAATCGTCAACACCCTTGTCAAGGAAGCTAAGGAGCCTGGGCTTCCCACAAACTGCTTCAGAAGAACTTTTAACCTATCATTGCTAACAATAATATGGGATTCCTGGCCACTGGAAGATACTTGGGGATGCTGATTAAAATTTACTTTTCCCCTAAAACAAACAACATTCTGAGAAGTGTACAAAGAAGAGAACCAATTAGCTCACAGAACTACAGAAACAGTAATGTGGGGAGAGGATTCAAATATAAGCGTGGGCCCCTAAACTCAGATGGCGAGAACCAAGGTGCACGCACAGAATCTATTAACAACAAGGTACTGAGGAGATGTAACTTTTAAAGGCCCAAGCTGAGAACGCTCAGTATAAGGTATTATCAGTGCTGCTTTTACTACCAATTTGTTTTTAATTCCATATAGTTCTTTAAAGATTTTGTTGTAAAATCTATGTAAATTTGTACTTTTTGATTTATTTTTCTTAAAAAATTATAGCTAAATTTTGATTAGCCTCTATGTATTATTTAACAGCCCTTGGCTCTGTTTATATTCTCTAAAGAGAAATATTAATTTGATTAAAGATTTTTTAAATGGTACATAAAACCAAGACTCAATAATGTTCAAGAATGTTACGGAACTTACCAGCAACAAAATAAAAGACTAATTCTCTTCAAAACCTTAATATCCCCAAATGATCTCCTATAAAGAGCACAGCTAAATGTTTGTGTTTAAACACACAGGAGTATGTATACACACATTAACGAGCTTCGAATCTGGACTAGCTTTATGTAAGCATGTGATCTCGAGTTGGTGTGCATGCCTGCGTGTGCCCGCGCGTGAGCGCACACACACACACACACACACACACACAGATGTCACTATAAAGTTACCCTGAGTGTCACTGACAAGCAATGAAAGGGTGCGGTATCTTCAAACATGTAACCAGCACACTCTCAGAACGGACTGCAAAGCAGAAGGTCTCCGTGACTGCGCTGGGGTGATGGGTGCGGGCGTTCCGGGCGCCAGCCTCCCTCTGCCCAGCCTCCCGGAGGCGGTGGCACACCTGTGTGTGTCCGGTAGTGGTCCTTCATCGCCGAGGCCGTGAGGAACGAGTAGTGGCACGTGGGCCAGGAGCACTTGAACGGCTTTTCTCCCGTGTGCAGTTTCATGTGGTTGTTCAGGGCCCACTTCTCCGTGAAGCTCCTGTCGCACAGGTGGCACGTGAATCTCCTGCACGAGAGAGAACACTGTCAGGACGGTGCACGCCAGCACGGGAGGCCGGCGCAGCGTGGCGCTCAGCCTCTGCGCCGAGCTGCAGGCCCGGCCTGTCACGTCTGTATAACCAGGCATTGATTTTTCTGTCGAGGCCTGGCACTTCAGCCATTTATTCTCTGCTTTGCGGTTGGGCCCAACGGGTTTGAAAAATTCTGTTACAGTCCAGTCACCCCTGAGGCAAAAGTGAGAATAGATTTCACCTGTACAGGCCTACACCACTTATCCAGGGCAGGGGCTGTCAGAGCAAAGGCTAAATGAAATGCTATCCATACTCGGCTCGCAGACAAGCCCTGCTGTCTGCCAGGATGGCGCTGGCGCGGGCCCTGCGAGCACACTCCTGAGATGTGCCCGGGCCTGCTGCGCTCATCCCAGGAGGGAAGGGCAGCCCAGGGCACGGCCAGAGTGAGGCATCCACTGGTTAGAACATGGCGCACTGGACACCGCCCCGACAAGAAGAAATTGATTACAGTTCTAGTTTTTTGTATTGTTTTGTTTATGTTTTTTAAAGGACTGTTTGAAAAAAAAAAAATGAACTGCAATTTCCTTTAAAAAAAAAAGAAAAAGAAAAAAAACCTGATGGGTCAGCAGGTGGCATGATAGTTAAGAGCGCTGGACTCCCACACTGCTGATCTTGGTTGGAGTCCCAGACCTGGCAGCTTGCTTTCTTGCTTTACCCCACTCTCTCACTCTGTCCGTCTCTGGCAAAATTTAAATAAATAAATATATCTAAATAAATAAATCTAAATAAAATAATTCTAAAAATAAAATCAAACCTGAAAATAACAAATCAATACTTAAATAAAATATTTCAGTAGCACTGTGCACTGCTTAAAATTTTTAACACCTTTAATAATAAAAGGAATATGAACCATAAACAAAACCTTCAGTACTTCCTCTGGTTGATGTCTGTCCCTTTTTCCTTGAATTCATGAAATTATTTCTCAAATATTTTTGTTTCAACAGAACTGAGTTGAATGCCATACCTATGACTAATATAATAGTGTCCAACTAATTCATTAAGAATAATGAGCAGTCAAATAAAAGCAAATTAAGACTCCATAATCAAAATTAAAATATTCTAGTAAGTTGATAAGCACTACTGCCACAAAAAAACAGACATGGGTGAACTACTAAGAATAAGTTTGTCCTTTTAGCAAATTAATTCCATTAATAACGTGAAGTCACAGGACCAGCCTGGCGGTTATGGTGGCTGGATTCTATTGGGTCGAGGGGAAGGTCACGACACATTGTGACATAGAAAAATACATCACGACTTTCCCAACGGCCTAATACACGGCCTGCTAAAACATGGCCACCTTGCAGTCCAAGGCCTGGACCTGGTGGCTTGAAAAACACACCAGGCGCGTGGGCGTGTGTGCTCAAAATCCTGAGGGAGAACGGCAAACAAGAGTGTGGTGTGGCCACCTCCCAGGGAACGCTTCTGGTCTGAAAACCTCGCTCTCTCTCTCTCTCTCTCTCTCCTTGGTAAGGGTATGTACCCTATAGCAAATTTAGAGAAAGAATATACAATTATAATGTTTTAAAATGTGATATAGATAGGGAGATACAGAAATACTGCATACTTTACCATAAAGGCTTTAACAAAGATTTAACAAATTTCCTTAGCCTGTAAGGAAATACAACACATTTTAAGCTCCAAATAATTAACTTTCTTATTCTGAGACAAAAGTGGATTTTAACAAGTTAATCATTTAGAGTTACAAAAATTCCTATGAACTGAATTATAAAACTTTTTATGAAAACCCATCTTTCTTTTATTATATATAGTTATATTTTTATAAATGTAACAAAAGTAAAAACTGCTATTTCAGAAATGTCACATAGCTTAAGTGCTTCATTATTATTAAAAGTGCTGACTTATTTATCTACTTAATGTACATAAAGAGACACTGTATTTACACCCATTAACAAAGGCTGACTTTGAAATTACTAGATAATGCGATCATTGCGTACTGGTACTAGAGAATGACAAATATAACTAAATACTTGGAAATGCACTGTAAAAATATCATGTCCGTATATCTCCTTGACGGGTCTTCATGCATTTAACATTTCAAAACCATGACAGGAATCTTATTTCCAAGATAAATTCCCCTATCTACTTATTTCTTCATGTATTTATTGTGGATCTAACCTTCCCCTACAAGAAATAAATAAGGAGGTAAGGAGATGCTATCTTTTAACAAATAGTTTCCCCAGACTGTATTACAACTTTATGAATGACAAAATAAATCCCTCTTTTTAAATCTACCATGATGTACATTTAACAAAATTACATCTAGGAAACCTCAATGTATGTACTCTATTATTCATACATAATAAAAATGTTAAACTAAAGCTCAATGCCTGTCGTGAAATGACAAAAGCCAGATAGCAAAGAACTAAGACCACCACTTGACTTTCAGAAACCTCACGAGTCTTCCAATTTGCCTTATGAAAATGAGTAAGTTCACGCACTGGCACTTTACAAAGAACTGGAAATATTACCACAGTAAACACACCTAAAAAATAAGACCTCGCTAGCAAAAGGGTGATTCTTGGAGCCACGCACATCCTGCGTCTCAGCTGCTCTGGACTATTTGCCTTCACCCAACAAGTCAGCAAGGCCATCCCCCGAGGGGACATGGCTACCTTGGGACCTTCAAGAAGTCCATCATGAGGAGTCTTTAGAGCAGAAATTGAGCTAAAACATGCGGCTCTCTTTTGCCATGTGGACCCCAAATTAAGGGCATCTGCACGTGCTCTGGATAAACGTTAGAAACACTTGTGCTCTCCCTACACCAAAGTTACCATTCTAGATAGTAGAGAGAAATAAAAGGGGAGAAATTGTTGGATTTGGCTTCCAAGAAAATTATAAGCTACTAAGAGAGAAAAAGACCATCCAGAAAAATAAAACTCAATTCCAGAAAGAAAGGCAAAACGCCATCATGATTTAAAATGAGGGCAATTAACAGGGCAGGGCAGATGAGAGGCTTCTCTGCGGTGGCATTTAAATTAGACATTGACAGAGAGGTGAAAGACACACAGAGGCAGAATCGCCCAGTCCTGCCCTGCGCCAGGTTTTGATGCAGCAAGAAGACCCGCACCAGAGGCCAGCACCGCCCTCCAACCGCTCAGACTCCCAAACACGTGGATCTAGTCACCGGGAGGCAGCAGACTGGGTGGTGAAGAGAGAAACAGGCGTCCTTGAAACTTACGGATGCGGGAAAGAAAGAGTATTCTGACTGTCCTGTTTTAGGAGATCATATATTAACATTTCACTGCTGGACAGGATAGAACATAAGAAAATTATTGAGAACGGGACTCCCATAGCAGCCAAGTGTGGGGGTAAAGAGGAAGATACTGATGACACTGTGGACTTGACTGCAGGGAGGCAGAAGTCGGAGGAGGGAGAGAAGGTGATGTGGCTGAGACGGGGACAACAATGATGTGATGGTGAGTCACATGACCCTGACGGTCCAGATCACTGAAAGGGATTCACAGTCAGAGGAAGAAGAATCTGTTGAGAACTCCAAGCAACTGCACACCGCAATGAAGTGGATGATCCCTCAAACAAAAGGGATGCAACAAAAACTATGAAACAATGTTTGTTCAATCTGGTGGTTCAAAACTCCCAAACAGTCTCTGTGGAAACAGTAAGCCCACTGCGGCCACGCACGGTGCGGGACAGCATTCAGTGCAACACTTTATATTGGGATTTTTAAAGGCTGCTTTAGACCGTCACGGTTTCCTTCACATGCCTTGGGTCCTGCTTTTATGGGCGTGAGCATATCTACGTTTACAAGGAGTGAGAGTCATAAAAAATTGGACACGATACTAAACTTCCTTCGATACTAGCATCATCGACCCCCTCGCTTCACCTGTTTAGCCCCTCTAAGTGTTGTTAGTGGTGGTTTTTTGTTAGTGTTGTCGTTCCGTCGTATTTCTCTCTTCTGAGAACGCACCGACACCGTTATCCGCTCAGGACACACATCAGGGGCACACAGCTCTCCCCTCCTGAAACGAGGCGACAGGACACCAGGACGCAGCGCCTGCTGGCTGGGAGCTGCGCGGTTGTACGTCTGGAATGTGATGAGCCCGAGTAGTCCTTACACCATTTGGGTTACGCTGCATGTTTGACTTTTGATAACATTTGGCCAATTTTAACAAAACTTCTTGTTCTGATCATTCAGTCCTGTCTATTTAGAAATATGTAAAAGGAGTCTGACCAAGTTCATTTTCTCCCTAAGGTCTAAATAAAGAGAAAGTGGTTTCCCAATTACAAAGAAGGCAGTACAGACTGAAATGCAGAGCTAGCGGGAAGGGTTTCAGTGACAGGAGCACAGAGCTGGGACTCGCAGAGCTGCAGCAGCTCACCCCAGGGTCTGCGGCCCAGCAGCAGAGACCTGAGCCTGCTACGCGGCTGGGTGAGACGCTCTGTGTGTCGCTGTCTTTACCTGATGGTCTCACAGGAGGAACTGCTTCACTGAATTTATAATAAAAAGATGTCGGTATTGTAAAAATTCACTCATGAGAGAGTGTGATGGTAGATTAGCTGAAGGGTCGACAATAAAGCAGACTACAATCTGAAAGGTAATTAACAAGCACACGAATGTGATGGTATTTGGTTCACCCTTATCCTCAAAGCCCGGAAAAATGCCAGGAACCCAGCGGTGTTCCAGAAATAATTTTAGACCAACTGGATGAACTCAACTGGTGATGAAACACTCTGTTCCTTCCCTTACCTGCACAGCTCAGGATCAGAAAGTGAGGGCACATGCGACAGTGCTGGGGCACACGCGGGCTGCCTGCATCTTGCCCCTTTGGGCTTTCCGCGTTCAGCACGTCTACCATGTTACATGCTGTGGTGTACTTCAGCCACAGAGAGAAGGGCAGAGCTGTGTCTCCCACCGAGATTTATGTACACAGATGACAACAGCTATGTTTCACATATT